GTTACAGTTCGTATCGATACAAAAATATAAAATACAATTCTATGATTTTATTAAACCTATTTATAGTTTTTCTAAAATTTTAAATCATATTATCTTCATATTTTTTATTCATATTATTTTCATATCATTTCATTGTTTCGTATTTCAAATTGTCATCTATGAGTTTAATATTGTTACTAAAAAAGAAACAGTATCAAATTTGATGCAGATTTTTGTGAAATCCCAAAAAAATACCTTTTCAGGCTATTGATTTTAGAATAATTTTTTTTTCAAGCATTCCACTTCATTTTAATTTCAACTTTCTTTTTCTATGCATTTTTCTACCTCTAACATTATGTTTGGATAAACATTAGTAAAAAAAAGGAAAAGAAAGCAAAGGAAAGGAATGGAAGGTTTTTTAAAGGAAAGGAAAATGATATCTATACCTTTTGCTTGGATAATTAAAATTAATAAAAAAAAAAAAAAGGAATCTTAATCATTGTTTGGTTAAATAATGAAAAGAGAAGGAAATGATTTATTATATTTTTTTTTCAATTATAACCTTTGATAATCATTGTTTTTATTATAATATTTATATGTTTATGTTAACGTATTTCATGTTTTTAATTTTTCTTTATTTCTTCATAAAAATAATCAACAATAAAATTTATAGAATTCATAAAAAAAAAAAAAAATTAGAGACTAAATTTATTGATAAATAATATTTTGTATTTTCAATCTAATTTTAAAATTTGAAATATATACTTTTAATTTAAAAAAATTAATAAAAATATAATAATTAATTTATATTTTAAAAATTTTATGCTTTTCCTTTCCCTTCCTTTTCTTCCAATTTTAAATAATTAAAAAAAAAAGAAAATTGAGGACAACCAGTGAGAACTATTCGTACCTTCTTTCCTTTATTTTTATTTATGTCATATACAATCAAGGGAGAGGATTCTTCATTTCTTTTTGTTTCCTTTCCATTATTTTGCTTTCCTTTCTCTCTCTTTATCTCAATCCAAACATGTTGTAAATGCTCTAAAATCCCAGACGCCAACCACCAACAATTCCAAAAATTAGCCAGTTTCTTCCACCAGTACCGCGTCGATCCTCAATTCTAGCCTGAAGACACCTTCTCACCGCCATCCATGCAAACCGAAACCCGTTAAAGAATCCCTCTACTTATCCCTATTCTAGAAACTAAACAGAAACCCTTAGAAATTATAAATCCTAAGCCGAGAAAAACAATTCAAATTTGTTTTTACTTCGCTAATTGTTTATGGGTTTTCCCTTCCGATTGTTTGATTGTGTTTGATTGTTGGGTTTTATTGCCTCTATTGGATTTGTTTTGGTGAATGCTATAGGTTCTTTTTAGTCTATTTTCTGTATCTAGTTTTGTATTCTTTTATTTCAAATTTCAATTCATTTGCTTGTTCTTTTATTTCAAGTCAAAACTTTTGTTTGTGTGAACATGTTTTGCTTCTGTATTGAGAAATGGTTTGCGGAAATCAGGTGTTCCCGGTGAGGTTCTTGAAATCTTATTTGAAACGGCCCACGACGTTGAAGATTACCCTAACATTCCAGAGGCGAGAGGGTCAATTAAGACCATCAAGAGTGAGACTTTCTTCCTCTCTTTGTATGAGCATGTCGGGGTTTTTAAGCTAACACTGTGGTAACGGTATAAATTTTTTTTTAAGTTGTGTTTTCATTTTCCTTTTCACCTTTTATGATTTTAAATTTAAGTTTTTCTTTTCTTTTTAGTTTTGTATGTTTACGTAAAAAAATTCATTTTGAAGGCGATCTTTGCTTTAGTACTGTGGTTGTTGGAAAAATGGAGCAAGCGGAGAAAGAGACTTGAATATTTCTTGTTTTCTTTTGAAATTATAGACATGGGATGTTTGTTCTTTAATAGTTGTTATGGGATTATAATTTTGATTCAAAGATTTTGCAGGTGTTTGATGGCAAAATTTTGCAAATTTGCGGTCAAAGATAGTCATTTCACCGTTATCCCTTTTAGTAATGTAAGTCAATCATAAGATTGTAAATGAGAAATCCTCAGGAGATTCATGTAAAGTTTACCCCATTATTAAATCTTTACACATTTTTAGCAAACAAAAATCTTTACATAAAATTGATTATGCATTTAAATTTTCTTTTTTCTTCTTCCACGTATGATAATTTTTTTTATGTTTTAAAAGGTATAATTTTACGCCTTTGAGTTAAGATGTATAAGTTCGAGAATTCGACTATTAAACATAAATCATGAAATTATTATTAATTTTTTTTATGTAAATATGATTAATGAATTTATTCTACCTAAAGAATTTTTAAGCTTAATTAAAATTCTTAAAAAAAAATAAGTTTTAGCTTACATCTTATAATTAGGGTCAAGAATACAATTATTGTGTGAAAGATATTAACATTTCCATAATGTCTATCCAAACATAGTTCTAATTAATTTTATATCATCCTAAACTTGTATTGGTTAAAAGAGATCCTTTTCATCATTTTATTTTCTTAAATTTTATCATTTAAAATATTAGAAAGAAATTTAGGTTTTTTTTTTTTTTTCATTTTGACAAAAATTTAAATTTTTTTTAATTTTAAGAGTATTCAAAAATTTTATTTATTTTTTAAAAAAATTTTCATTATTGGATTGATTAAATATTTTATAATGTTTTTATTTCTAATTTTTCTGTTTTTATTATTTTATTTTTTATATATATCTAAAATTTTTACCATTTAAATCTCATTTAGAAATATTTTCTTCACTTAAAAATTTATAAGATAATCAATTATTTGTGATTTCAAAAATTTTATTTATTTTTCTAACTAATAAAAATGTTTTAATTTTATCAAATAATTAAAATATATCTCTAAATTAAAAACCTAAACATGCATTAAAATTAAAAAAAAAGTCATAAAACAAAACAATAAAAAATGGTCAGTACATACGGGTGGGTCAGAACCGGGTCTGAGCGCGGGTCAAGCGCAGGTGGCCTAGGATCCGTCCACCAAAAATACGTAATTTTGAACCTGGTATAAATAACGAAATCTCTTTAAGAACATTTCTCCTCTTCTTCCCTCTCTTTCTATGTTCAACATTTCTCTCTTCCTTCTTTCTCTGAGATTCAAACGAAAAAAATCAAAGAATGCTAAAAAATTCCCCAGAACTCGGTTATACTCTGCCGCGTCGCTGTCGTCTGTCGTCTGTCGCCGGTACATGCCGTCGCTGGTGATCGAAAAACCTAAAAAAATTCCCTTTAAATCTTCTCAATCCCCTCGCGTCCTTTCTCAATTCAAAATCTCGAAAAAAAACTCCCTTGAAGACCTAAATCTAAACCCAAAAACTGAAATACCCTTTTCTAGTCACCGTTTATTACCATTATAACTACCCAGATTCAAAAGAGATTCTTCCTATCACTCTCCTCTTAACAAATATTGATTTAAAGCAAATCCCATGAAAAATCTCACAACACGAAATCCCAGAAAACTTTTCCCTTTGCGATTTTTTTGGCTGAAAATTGTGTTTGCACTGTGTTTGATTCTTTGTGTTGTTTTCTGATCACTGCGTGTTGACGTGGATTATGCTTCCTGTTGTCTATATGTTGTGGCTGTTATATAGGGTTCTTTTGCCAAAAAAATCTTGATTTTATTTAAAGAAAAATTTTTGAGAAACCGATGCAGATTTGATTGTGATTGCTTGATTCTAATTTTCCCGAGCCTGGGTTCTCTGTGTTCTTTGACTTTCCTTTAAGCTTTCATCTTGGATCCAAACTTTCCGCAAATTTTCGATTTTTCATTCTTCGTTTCTGACCTTTGTGATTTTTCCTTCTCTGATTTTTTATTTTTGTTTTCCAAAATCACCTAAAGTTTCATGATTTCGATCCTTAGTTCCTTTAAAAAATATTTTTCTCTGAATATATGATTTTTTGGATTTTTTATTTTAAAAAAAAATGATTTTTGGAATTATTTTATTTTATTTTTTTGGAATTTTATTAAACAAATAAAAGAAAAAAAAAAAAAAACCCATTAACTTTAATTGGTCTGCCGGACCGAATCCAAACATAAAAGACCCGAAGCAATTCAATAACCTAAAATAAATCCCAAGGCCTAAGCAATGGAATTTTACAGTTTAGAGGCTTAAAATAAAAATCCCAACTTCCATTCGGATTTGGGTTCTAAGATAAGATCCAATCAACAAATCAGATTTTATATCCAAAAATCAAACTTCAGCTTAACAAAATTTGACTATTAATTCGGAACGTCGAATTTAATACAAAATTCAATTACAATCAAAATTCTTAAAATGAAAATTGAATCTAATTTCGATGGTTTCAAAAAAAATTTTGAATAAAATAATATTATATTATAACTTTAATTTAATTGATTCATATAATTATTTTTAAAAATTGATATCTAATAAATTTAAGTTTAAATTACATTATATGCAACTTCCTTATCTAATCTTATACTTTTACTCTTACGTACAAAACAAAAAATAAAAAATTTTTTGCCTTTATTTTTACATAAGTGGCCTATGTCCGCTTGAGAATAAAAAAATAAATTATAAATGTTAAAATTTAAAATTTAAATATGTTGAATATAATATTTTAAAAATGATTGTACAAATCAATTAAATTAAGTTATGAATTAAATTTTATTTTTTTAATTAATACTTAAATTTTGATTATTTTTCTTGTCTTTTAAATTACTATTAAGGTTCACACTCAAGGCTTAAGGTCCTGAATCCAACTCTGACACTATTGACACTATTGAGAAAATTTTGATTTTTTTTAGTTAACATTATACATTTTTTTACTATAATTATTATTAATTAATCTCGCAAAAAATAAGATTATTTATTAATTAACTATCCAAAGGGTTACAAAGACCGAAAGCAGATACTAGGCTAGGTCATAGCGGAGAGCAAAAACAATTATGCTGCTTAAGTACAAAAGTAAATAAATACACCAAAATTCTCTTGATCATTTGCTTCTGGGAGCTTTTTTCTTCGACTATTTTGCTTTTTGGTGTTGTGTACCCTCAACCAACTTCACAAACCATTTAGGTTTTCCCATTTTAAAGACAACATATCCAATTGCCAAACCAAGTGCCATTCCACACCCATATCCCATTAACACAACTTTCCAGCCAAAGTCATATGCCAGCTTTGAATCACCTTGAAAGGTCATTGACGAAGGTGGTTGCCTTGTCTCTTCATTGTTACAAGCTTTTGACATTGGGAACCCGCACAACCCTTTGTTCTCTTTATATGACTCGTTTTCAAATGTGTTGAATTGCTTGCCTAAGGGAATTGGTCCTTCAAGTTGGTTGCAAGAAAGATTTAGGCTGGATAGGAATGTCAAATTTTCTAATTCCTTGGGAATTTGTCCGGTTAGATTGTTTGAGGAGAGGTCTAACCACTCAAGATTTATCAAATTTCCCATTGATGGTGGAATATGATCACCAAGGTTATTATGAGAAAGATTGAGTCCTTTAAGTGAGACTAGCTCTCCAATTACTTCCGGAATCTCTCCATCAAACTTGTTGAGAGAGAGATCAAGGCTTGTGAATATCGTTGATATCTTTATTTCAACTTGCTGAGCTTTCATTGTCAAACTAACAAAACATTCATAACGTTTGGCTTCCTGCATGTACCGTATAGGACCTAGATTTTCATTGTGATTTTTCAAGGCCTTGAAAGATTTTATATACCCATCCGGTAATGTGCCCCTGAAATCATTGTTGGAGAGGTCTAAAATTCTCAACTCGCCGAAAGAAAGACTCTTCTTGGGATTGCTTATGAAGCCATGAAAGTTATTTGACCGTAAAATCAGGACTTGTAACACAGGTAATGTTTCCAACCAACTTGGAAATGTACCATTTATCATATTGTTGGCGAGATCTAGAACTTCTATTTTCCTGCAATTGATCAAAGATCGTGGCAACGACCCTTCAAAATGATTACCATTTAAGTTGATATACTTCAATCCACAGCTCTTTCCAAACACTGGAGGAATTTTTCCATGAAACTGATTCCTTCCTAGGTTCAACACTGAAAGCCGGTCGCTGAAGTTTCCAACACATTGTGGAATATTTCCACTCAATTCATTATGAGAGAGGTCAAGAACCATAAGGGAACTTAAATTGCAAAGAAGAGAAGAAGCCTCTCCAGTTAAATAGTTGTTTGAGATTGATAAGAAAATGGTGTTGACAGGCAAAATTGGGAGATGACCTTGAATCAAGTTGAAGCTGAGGTCAAGAGTTAGAATGTTCTTCCATGGAATTTGCTCAAAACCCTCCAAATTATTTTTTGAAAGATTTAAGTACTGCAAAGAGGCCGTTCCTATCTCCCACATCCAATTGGGAATCCGGCCAGAAAGTCTATTGTTGGAAAGGTCTAAAGCCTCTAAGTTTTTCGAGCCTCTTAGAAATTTTGGGAATTCACTGATGTTGAACGAAGGCAAAAATAAAAGCTGAAGATTAGGCAAGGTATGAGTGGAACTGATATTAGAGTTCAAAGATAGGCAGTTATATGAAAGATCTAGCCATTCAAGATTTGAGAGTTTCAATAAAGCGTTCAACTTTAGAATGCCACTCAAGTTATTTGATGACAAATCAAGATCAGTTAGATTCACAAGTTCGAACATTGACTTTGGAATTTGACCTTGAAGTTTATTGTTGCCCCAAGATATCCATGTGAGTGATTTGTAGTGGAATTCATTGATATGACCGGTCAATTGGTTATTGTGAATGGTTAAGACTTTTAATGAAGGAATGGTATAAAACCAGGGTGGCAGTGTTCCGTTGAGCAAGTTGTTGGAAAGGTCCAAGCTAATTAGATTTGGAAAAGCACTTACTTGGGAAGGAATGGAACCCTCGAGTTGATTGTCAAATATGAACAAGAATTGGAGTTGTGTTAGGTTTGTGAGTGAAGATGGTATTGGACCATTAAAACAATTACCTGAGAGTTCCAAATAAATGAGTTCTGAAAGGTTTCCCAATGATCCTGGAATTGCCCCTGAGAAGTTGCATCCACCAAGCTGCAAATGCTTTAAGGACTTTAGATTGCCAATCGTATTGGGTAATTCTCCAGAGGAAGAAGTTTGGAACAGATTCAAATACTCGAGTGGATTACTCCAATTAAACTTTGGGAGATTGACAATCAGATTTTTGTTTCTCTTTAAATCAAGCAACTTAAGGTTTGGCAAATGAAAAATGCTTGTTGGGAGCTTTCCTCGCAAATCACAACCTCTGAGACTGAGTGAAGTTAGTGAAGAAGACAAATTCATCAAGGAATCAAGACAGATGGATGACAAGGTTAAATTAACAAGAAATATTTGTCTTACCATCGTTAGGTTTTGAACAAGTCCATCAAAGGTATTTTTGTCAATTGCATGAAGATCATTGCAAGAGAGATCAAGTGAAACCAACTTCGACAAATGAGAGATTTGAGATGGGACTTGCCCTGAAAAGTTTGAGGTGGAGAGGTTGAGATGCAATAGGCTCGTAAACATACCGAATTTAGAAGAAATAGTGGATTTCTTAAAATCATTATGGGCGAGGTTGAGTTTCTGCAGGTGTGGAAGAAGGAAAAGACTAGTATTGGAATGGATGGTACCACAAAGCCAACTGCAACTTAGATCAAGACCAATCACTTGACTTGTTATGTGGTCACAAGTGACTCCATCCCACAAGCAGCAATCTGTCCTCTTCTTCCATGAATTTGTTTTAGGATAAGATTTGGTGCTGTGGTTTATGCATTCAATGGAAGCATTTTTGTTGATGGAAAAGGAGCTCTTGAATTGGATCAACGCTGCACTATCTTTCAGAGAGCATTGTTTGGTCGTTTTGTTAGAGGAAAATGATAATGAAGATGAAAGAGTAGCTTGAAAATTAAAACAAAACAAAACAAGGCATAGAAATGGATAGACACTTGGTGAACGCCCCATGGTTGTGATTCAAAGAGTTTGGATAATGTTAATGCATGGTATAAAATTCAAGGCAAAGATGAATGAATATTTATAACCTACCAAGTCAAACCAATTTTTTCTTTTAAATTGAGGAAAGAGGGATTCGAACCCAGAAGGTATAATGCACCAGTCATCAAGCAATGCTTAAGTCGAAGTTATAATATACAACAATATAGAAAGTTTGGTATTCTTACAACTTGGTCCCTTATGCGAATTCAGGACCACCAGCATTAAACAAACTTATACCAAAGTTGTTAATGGCGAATGACTTGAAACCTTTATCTATATTCATATTCGATGTGATATAAGTTATCCGCAAGTGGTGGTAAAAAAATAAAAGCAATTACAAACAAAAAAAAAAGGAAAAATAAATAACTTATGCTTTCCCATTTCTTATAAGAAAAGTTTATCCGTTTTAATATACTAAAGCCTTGTAATACACTTTTAAACCTTCTTTTTGTTATTGAATCACTAAGCAATTTTATTGTTCGGAAATTAAATACACTCTTACTTTTTTTTTTGTGGTCACACCAACAAAATTCTCATGGTTGATGATTTTTTTTTTGGTTAAATTGGCTGAAGTCAAAGAATCATTTTATAGTCATAATTAAAAGTTAAGTCTAAAAGTACAAAAGCAGATGTTCAAACCATCCCACAATTTTCTTGGATAAACGAGTTTGGTGGGTATAAAAGGAAAAGGCATAACGTAAGAAAATATGACTTGAAAGCTTGTTGTAAATACTATTTTTTTTTTTTTTTTAGGTTTATTTCGTTCAAACCATTTATGATATGCAACGGGATGAATTGAATAGTTATAGGATATAATGAAGACTTTGTTTAACTTTGTTTTGTATTAATAAAATCAAACCAATAAACACTCTAATGAGCAGTAAAATCATTTTACTTATACATTATTTTTTTACAAAAAGGAAATCTAAATGACATAATCTATTGATGAGAATAAGAGAGAAAGATAATTATAAGTTTTTAATTGTGTTGATTGATTCAATTAATTTTTGTTTTCATTAAATTCACATATTTTAAAACTCAATAGGTGTCATTAACAACTTTTTACAAGTGAAATAACATCTTATGAAAATATTAGAACTCATTAGAATCGAAACTAGTTATTACAGCCAAAACTTGTAACTTTTGAACTAAGAGTATCATATGTTCGTGAAGGGCATTCTACTTCCCCATTGAAATTTTATTTCATAACACTTTTTCAGATCTCGGCAATCAACTATCTGTATAGTGTAATTTTGAAACAAAATATTTTTCTGGGCAATCAACTATCCTGTCAAAAGTATTAGAAACAAAATCAAATTTTCATTCCGTAATTATATGACATTCGGTTGCCTACACTGAAAATCTTACTAATCGATTTTCTCTTATAGAACCTTTTCAAAACTATTCTATTATTGCAGCCTGCTAATCACTAATTTCTCAATCTATTTATTAAAAATCATGTTTAATCAATTATTGGTCACTATATTTTAAAAATATTATTTACAAAACCAAAAGAAAAAGTTATTAATATAAGCACCCAAAAGAAATCTCTTAGTCAAGTCTATAAATTCAATTTCCCGACCCATAAAAAATGACTTCGATATAGATTTTAGTCTCCTTTCCTCACATCTTGGTCTTTTCAGGTTAATAATAACACCTTCACAGCACATTTATTCAAACTTATAGATTAATTAATATGTAAGTGGAATGCTGATTAAAGATTATACAAAATATTAGTTTTACAGCCCTAAGAATTGATCACTTATGGAGGTATGCATGCCTTTTCTTGTTGTATTAAAAAAAAAAAAAAAGACTTTGCATCCTTGTCTTTTATGAGCTACCCATGTGCATAGCTAAGGGGCAGGTAGGGGTGATGCCCTTCAAAGTATTTTTTATATCTTTGTGGCAAAATATTTCATTCTATAAAAAATAATATTACATCCCTTCTTTTTTGATAAAATTATTATTTAGCCCCTCCTTTTTTTTATATTTACCTTCACCTCTGAGTCTACCGAAATTGTCACGTCACCACAAGAAATTTTATTGAGATTAAGGGCACATCTGTTACTATGTTAGGAGTTAATGTTGAATTTTGTCATTGACTTTTATAATTTAAATTGTGTTGATTTTTGGATTAAAAAAGAAAAGAAAAACATAATTGATGTGGAAAAAAACACATGGAAATTTGCCACTCATATTAATGGAATGTTTTATAAAATATTTCAATTCTATATATATTATAATCGAAATATTTAATGAAATTGAAGCATAGTGGTAAACTTCAACATAGATTTATAGTATAATGACAAATTTGACGTTAAGCGATAATTGTTACAATACTAGTATTTGTTGCTACAAATTAAATAATTTATGTTTTGTGAAAAAAAAATTATTGCAATATAAAATTGGATAAATTACACGAACGGTCAATAAACTTTTAAAATTTTGCCATTTTCATCACTGAAATTTAATTTATTTCAATAAAATCTCTCAAATTTATATATAAAATCTAACCACTTTTAAAAAAAATCCCTTCCAGGCAAGTGACGAAAATGATATTGTTGCATATAAATTACTACATAGTGTTGAAAAAACGACAAAAGCTTAAAGATAATGCTAAAAGCATTTAAAAAATTTAAAATAAAGATAATTGAAATTGCGTTGTTGACTGTGATTTTTGGAATCCATTTTACATATTCAAAAAATTTTTCTCATTGCATTTTAAATCATTGTTAAAATTTTGTCCCCACAGTAGTAAATTTCTTCCTTAGTTGATCAAGTGGTGGAAAAATGAGCATAAACACAAGGAAAAGTGTAGCTACCTTTCCAATGCCTTAGCGTAAGGGTCGAGTTTTTTTTTTCTCTTATTAGTAGCAAAGTAAAAATCAAAAGAAATTTTAATATTTTAAAATTTTTCATACCATCGATCCATTAAAAAAAAAAAAACTTTTTGACGAGAAAATTTATTTCATTGTTAATAAAATATTGTGGCCCTAGAATTCAAGCTATCGATCCTTTTCATTTTGAATCAACAAAGAGCAATTTTGTTGATCAGAAAGTGATTTAGACACAATAATCCTCATAATCTTAAACCAATAGTCCATTATATGGTGCTTTCCAAATCAGAAAGTTACAAACTCGTGAAACATACTCACATCAGGAAATGGAAAACCTAATGGTCCAGGCTAAAAACTTTAGTTCTTCTTTTCATAACATCTTTGTCTTTCTAAGGTTTTAAAATACCTTCTCAGTTGGGACCGTTCAACGCACAATGATTCAAAGTTACAGGTTGTTTAACTTGTAAGTGGCGAAATTTAACTTGTTTAACAAGTACTGTTTAATATCCGATATTGAGAATTTATTTTCCAACACAAATACAGAAATTTTTATTTCTAGTTCAACACAATCACATAAATATCTTTTTTTAGTTCAAATAATCAAAAAATTAAAATACTCATTTATAACCAAACACCAATATTTTAACACAAATTCAGTCAATTACACGAAATTTCAACCCAAGCACAGTGTTCCCAAATTAGTACCTGTGCAAGGAAGCAAAGTTGACAGCACCCACGAAGAAAGAAAGATAAAACGTGCAGAGAGGAGAGGAAGCAAAGTTGGCAGCACCCAAATTAGTACTGGTTCATGCGCGGGCGGTCATAGTCGGGATTTACGGGCTCTAAGGGGTCTGGACGAGCTGGCGGCGAGGAGAGGGAGGCATGGGCTGACGCTGAGGGAAGGAAAGCCGAGAGGAGAAAGAAAAGGAATTAGGGCAGAGCTGAGCTAGAAAGTAAATGGGAAGGATATTTTTACATTTAATTAACTTTTAGCGACCGATAAATTTCTGTCGATAATTAAATTTTTTTTTTAATTTTTAGCTATAGATTAACGATATAATTCGGCAGTATATTTAGTGACAGATTGTGAGGGAATCCATCGGTAATTATATAATTTTCCCTTTCAATTTATTTTAAAAAAAAATTAATTTTAATTTTTTTAATTAAAAATATTTTTGTCGACCAAAAAAATTCGTTGGTAATTTATCAGTAACTTTTTTAGCGACAGATTACTAATAGATTTTTTCGTCGATAAATATCATGCTAAATTTTCATTTTCTCATGACAATTTCACTTACGAAATATTAAAATATTATATTTCATTGATAAATTTCATCGATATTCCATTAATAAAATTTTTTTATTGTTTTAATTTTCATCGATAAATCGTAGAAAATCCATTGATAAATTACCTATGACATTTTTCTATCGATGTTAAACAAATTTCTTGCAATGTGAGTAAGATATTCGACTACCTTAATTAGTTAAATTTTGAAATACAATGAAATTTCAGTCATGGCAATTGATTTCCTA